GAAAAGTCCTAACTCTGTGAGGCTATTTGATCCATGTAACGTGAAGGGGGAAAGGCACCTAAAAGCAAAGGGGAAAGAACCTCGAAACAACCCACTATAATTGAGGCACTTTGTTATAACCTGGAAAGGATGGAAGTCTAAGTTCTACACATTATTGTTGCTGGTGTTGGCTTAGTTTTTTCTGTAGTGTTTGGCTAGAGTAGAGCAGTTATTACATAAAAGTTTTCAGTCTTGTTAGGCTGCCTCTTTCCTGATCCTTTAGCTAGAGAGAGCAGGCTTTTCTTGCGCCTTTACCTGCACTAAAAACGTCCAGGTTGCTGCCTTCTCCTATAATCAATATGGAATATATGAGGGAATAAGACATTCCAGGGAACTCACCACTGGATTGTTCCTTGATTCCAGGACTGCCTTAGCCAGTCTGCCTTCTCTTCCACCTTTTAGATTCTTACGTCTGTTTTAGAGCAAATGAAATTAGCTATGAATTGGTAATGTTGAAGATGGATGATGTATGCATAGAAGCTCATTACTCTATTTTATTTTTGTGTATTCTGCAGTTCTCCTTAAAAACATTTCCTGAGCACCCAGTCTAAGCTGTATTACAGGCTCTTGTCTGCACTCTCCAACCTAGTCTGTTTTGGTCCTAATTACAGCTCCGAAGCTTAAAAGTGACCAGCACAGAGCTGGCATTCAAACTGCCATGTTTCCTCAAATATAAATGCCACAGATGATAAAATACCTTTATGTATTATTTTAAAAAGTACCACAAGGGCACCTGGGCAGCTCCGTCAGTTGAGCATCAGACTCCTGATTTCAGCTCAGGTCATGATTCCTTGGGGTCATGAAATCAAGTCCCACACAGGGCTCTGTGCTCAGTGTAGTCTGCTTGAGATTCTCTCTTTCCCTCTCCTTGTGCCCCTTCCACTTCACCTCTCTCTCTAAAATAAATAAATAAAATCTTTTAAAAAAAGATTTGACATGGAGAGAGAGAGCGCACACACAAGCAGGGGGTGGGGGGATGGGGGCAGCAGGCAGAGGGAGAAGTAGGCTCTCCACTGGGCAGACAGCCTGATGTGGGGTTCAATCCCAGGACCCCAGGATCATGACCTGAGCCAAAGGCACAGACTTGACTGACTGAGCCAGCCAGGAGCCCCAGTAAAAAAAAAAAATCTTAAAAAAAAAAAAAATTAAATTATGGCACAGATGGCACAGCATCAATTTTTAGAAGTATTTGAATTTCAAATACCAAAATGTGGAAAAAGTTCATTTTATAATTAACAAAATATGGTATTTGTAGAATAAATGATACTCTATGAGGTCAAGATCATGATGAAAATGTGTCACAAGTGTTCAAGATCAGTTTTTTTAATATAGTATATGTGCTGCCGAAGCGAGCACAAGATCAGTTTTTTTAAATAAGTTTATAGGTTACTGTTACAAACCTTAACAGAAAATACAACATTCTGACATGATGGTCTCTACCACTTTACCACAAGGACCCCTTTTGTTGTTTTATCCTTGATGTCATCATATTTTGAAATATTTTGGTATGAAGTAAAATTCAGTTGTTAAGCTGATTTTCTTCATTCTTCATAGATTAAATATGCAGTATTCAAATGGAGGCAATATAATTTCAGCTAAAATAAAAGCTGAGGTTTTACCTACCCTACATGGACTCACTACAAGGAAAAGTACATTTCCATTAGGAAATCTACTTTTTAGCTTCCAGTGCTACTTTCTCAGAATCCAGGAACCATCTAAGAACCAGGGGAATCAACATGGCAGGAATCAAGATGGCAGCCACTGGATGCCAGCTCCTATATTAAGTCAAGAAAGGGCATGAAGGTAGCCCATCTTAATGTTACTTTTTAAGTCAGCCCATTTGCTTACACAAATCTCCAACAGAGGAAATTGTGTCAAGGAGTTCAACATTGTGGTGAACTGATACGGCGCAACTGTCTATTCAAGTTTCCAAATTGACAACATAAAAATTCAATTATTTTTTTCTAGGTTCAATAGGAACAGAGTAGTGAAAAGAAAATACTATTTATGGAGTTTTATATCACTTACCCTCTCTGTTTAAATCTGAGTACAGAGGACAAGTCATTCATCTTTGTATCCCTGAGCAGAAAGTTCAGTGGATACCCACAGAAGATACCTGTGTCAATGAATATGTGAATGGATGGAAGGATAGTGGTCCTCAGAACCTTCAAGACATCTTCCCTGTCCCTGTTTTGAGCTCTCTTGGAAGATGGAAATTAGGAAAAGGGAATGAATACTAGGAAACATGGTCTTAGGAACCTGGCCAGGATGAAAAACTAATACAGCCAGAATTCTCCTTATTTCTGGAAAGTTCCTTGTGACAGTGACCATCTCTACATGCTTAACACCTGATGTGGAATAACAAATCTACATGTAAAAACTTTCACCAAATGCCTAGGACACATTCTGTAGATTGAAAATGAGAGCATGCATATGAACATCTCAAAAGTGGCATAGATTACTTGAGAAAAAAAGAGGTTGGGATCAGAATTCCTTTATTCTAGTCCTACAAAAAATCATGTAAACACTAGCACAGACCTCTCCTTATCCCCAAGTTCAAAATCATCATGAGATGGTAGTCCTACTTTTAAAATAAATAGTCAGGAAAAACAAAACCAATTATCAGGTGAACACAGCAGTTTTGGTTGTCTTGTATGGGAAACTTTCTGCTCTGGAGGCTTAGCAGATCTGTGTGGGAATTCGATGAGGAGAGACAGAGGGCATTCTGTCACAGGCACAAAGAACAGCAGTGGTCAGTGGATTTTAGCAGTTTGTTTCAGTACATATCAACTGGGACCCCTTTTCAGCCCCCAAAGAAGAACAGGATTAAATAACTGAACTCAAGTGCCAGCAATGGCTGGTCTTTCTCTTACTTCCAAAAACAAAGGATTGGGGCAGATCCACGAGGTTAAACGAAGAAAGTACAGGCCTTCTAAATTGTATTAACTTTACAGCAGACATACTAGGATTCAGGTTTTCCTTACATCAGGAAAAAGTCATGAACATGCAGCCACACAGATTGGAAAAGACAGGAAATAAACAAACAAACAGGTGAGAATCTATACACAACTGCTTCTCTTCCCGTTGAAGTTTTAAAGAATGCAACCCAGCTACTTCCTCGCTCCATCATATTCTTGCATTGGGACAGCTTAATCAATATTTGGTTTCCAAAGCAATAAATATTTGTTAAATACCCAGAAAGGCAGTCATGAAGCCTGGTTAGATCTCCTTTTCAATCTCCCCTTTAAGTACCAATTTGGGTCTGCCTGCCTTTAATGTCCCTTCAACCAGCAAGAAAAAAAATAATTCTCCCAGAGATTATATTAAAATATACCCCACTGATAATCAGTTATTCATTATGAAGAATAACTTATAGTAGGAACTTAGTGGAGAACAACAGTGTCAGAGCCTTTGTTCTATCCGATCTCCTCCAGCAATGACAGAGTAAGCCTCCTCTCACAATGAACTTCTGGAGGTTCAGATGGTATTCCCTCACGTCTGGGCATTGGTTAGCCCATTGGAAAAGTGGGCTAAAATATGCAGAGCTACTGGTATAGTACCTAATATACAGCAGATGCTCCATAAATGTTTCCTGGTCAATTATAACAGCTGACATTTATTGAGCACCAACTATGTGCCAGACCCTATAAGCACTTCTTTATATATAGTATTTCCTAATAAGTGCTAATAGCCTGTTTTCTAGATGAGCTAAATAAGGCTCAGAAATTCAGTTTATTTAGAGAATTAGCAAGGAATGTGGCTAGCACTTGAACCTAGTTTGTTTGATTTAAAATCTCATATCCTTTCTATTACTCCGCATTGCTTCCTTCAACTGTTATGGCATTTGAGTGAGCTAGACGGAAAGTGTAAACCAAGTGAGCTAATTAATCACCTATGAATTCTAAACTAAAATATTGCTTCATGCCTCAACAGATCAAAGGAGGGAAGGGTAAACAACATGAAATGAAACAATAAACCCCTAATGGAAGGGAATAAAAAGATGCTGTTAAATGTTTTAGAACAGACAACCGTTAATTAGATGTCTGATTTTTTCCCTATTTTTACAGAGGGCATTCCTACTGCCTCAAAAGATGGACATTATTTCTCTTTACATTCCCTCTGATTAAACTGTCCCAATCCTGGAATGTACTGGGACAAAGTAGGCGTTTTTATTCTTGGAAAACTCTCAAAAGAGAAAGGTACTCAGGTAGATGGCCCAGTCACTAAGCCTCTTCAGTACCAACAGTTAGGTCTTAGCTTCTATGTTCTGGAATATTAGGCTGGGTGGTCTTCTTACCTGGATTTAATGATTTCTCTACCACACAAAAGATCCTATATTGTTCATGTCATGTTTTAAAGAACTGTTCACTTAGTCTCGGGGCCGGGTAAGTGGAAAAGATATGGAAACAGAAAAAAGATATGAAATAGAACCATGAATGCTTAACCAAAGCTTAGAATGGGTTGGGACGGAAGGAAAAGACTTTAATATTAGTAGAAATAAAGCCAGACACCTTGGATTTAGAGAGATGATTAAAAATCGTAGTCACTATGGTAAAGAACTTGGTCAATGACAAGTGGATATCATCAGGTGCCAAATTCCATTAACCTCTCAATCTCTACACAAATAAAGAGATGCAGACATTGGCCATGGTCCCTTTTTTTCCTGCCAACACTGACACCAGGAGTTTGGATCATCTACCAAAATTTCTTATTAGTAGGATTTGACCTCCAATAGCATTTTCTGACAGCTGACTATAAACTAGAGCTTCAACAGTATAGCTAAGGATTATTTTAGAAATATGAATAAATGCTTCACAATTAAACTCCACTCTCAACGCAGCATCAGCTTTCATTTTTAACCTCCAAAAGACATTATTATATGTTTGATGAGAGTTTTAAATGGACACAATTATAAATAAATGATTCTAAACAGAGCCCTTGATTAAGCCTAAACCTAATCATTTTCCATAACTCCTAGTTTTATTTGATTTTATGTGCTTGCACACAGACACACTTAAAAGAACATATGTTTATATTTATATATAAAATATGGATGATATGGGAGTTTCTGAGAAATGATTTGTTAATGGAAATTTATTAACTATAACCTTTGAATACAAGAGAAACTTCAATATGTACAAATCAGCGTAAGTTCCCAGTTCCTAAACTTTGGTTATATGAATATGCCTCAAGCACCATAGAACAAACAATAATTTTAATTTGAAAAGAAAAAAATACTCAAGAAAAGAAAAATCCTGCAACTCTCTGGTATCTTTTCTTTTTTTTAAAACACCATTTGGGAAACTCTTTTATTGTACATTTCCTTCCATCTTAGTCAGTTTCCAAAAACGGTATTAATAAAAATTGATCAGGGAAGAAAGGACTGACAAACCACTGTAGATCAAGGTGATGTTGCAAAAGAACTGTATCTGGATATTATTCTGTCTGAATTACAAAATTGTTTTAACCTAGGGGATGTGTATTACGTAACATGTATGAAAAAAATCCTCAACTCTTCATTTTCAAAATTCAAAAACTCAAACACAATCGTAACAAGGGTTGGGGGTGAAAGGCTTACAGGGAAATCTTTAGCAAACCCAGTTAAAAACTTCTTGGTTTTCAACTTCTTCCCTGGCATCTGCTAGCTGCAGAGGCAATGTGCATAATATACAGGCATCAAAAAAAAGACCTGACAGGCTGAGCATAACCCTTCATGGGATTTCACAGAAAATCTGAGGGGCAAGGAAAGAAAAACTGAAGGATGAAGACTGAAATAGAAAAAAAGGCAAACAAAATATATTTAAGCCTGTGTATGTGAGGATGGAGGGGGCTTACATGTACAAACTGACAAGTGCCGGTGTGTGGAAGGGATTGCATCCTTGCCCACAAACTGGATTATATACACATTTATATTAAGTTAAGTCAATTTGTATATTACACCTGACAAGTCCAACAGGACGCTTCTGGTGAGAGGTGGAAGGAGGTTCTATTTACTCAGCTCCTCAGGCCCCGGTCCTTTGTCCTGGCTGGTTGGTGGTCTCTGCACAGGACTCAACAGCATGGTATATGAATGGATAAAGTTTGATGTCTGGTCCGGGGGTGGAACAGTTTCTGCATTCTTCATTGTAATACCGGAGCAACAGCTTAAATACTTCTCCTGGAGAGTAAAGGCCAGACCAATATCCACATTAAGGTATACAGATGTATAAAATTACTAAAGAACACTCCACATGTTAACATGTGCTCACTTTTGGCTTTTGAAAATAAAGCATGAATGTCATATTCCTGGAAGGCTTTTCTGACATAAAGTTAAAAAAATTTTTTTAAGTACTGTAAAGAAACTACTTATTAGTTCATGACAACAACGGGCTCTACATGGTACATCAGCCATCTATCATTTTAGGAGTCTGTGGCAACTTTATTTCTACATTCAGCTCCCAGGATACCAAGGCCTTTCACATCCAGCTGAAATACAGCAAATGAATATGCTGTTATGTCTGATAAATATGACTCAGAGTGAGGCCTCTTAGACTTGAACTTATCCTCCTATGCCATCCCTCTTTTAGTTTTCTATATGCATAAATGTAAAAATGTATATTAAACTCCAGCTTCTTGGCCTGACTTTAATAAGCTGACATACCCATTCAAGATAGCAGATAAAACTTTGTCAGAAAAAAGATTCTGCAGATGTTGCCCAACTAAGACTCTGTCCACCCTTCTCAAAGTCATGCTTTCATTTCTTATCTACCATAATCCATCCAGTTTCAGCAAGTGTTTGATTGTCCACCAAGATGGTGGACAGTCTTACCTAGATACCAAGTGTCAAGTCTATTTCCTACTTACCAACAGTTAGTTTCCTTTCAGTAAGGAAAGTGTGCATGCTGTAAATGTCTCTCATCAATTCTGAGTCCCCAAAGGTGAAATAAACCACATCACGCTCAGCTACAGCAGCTGCCAGTATCTGTATTAAGGCTGTAGCAAAGAGAAAAAAAACACACAGCTATATTATGACACTTCCCATTAAGACACCTTCAGTTCTTTCAACCAGCTAAATTACAGCTGGTGTGCCACAGCTTTATTCTGGATTACAGATTTATAAACCAAATATAAGTGTTATTAGAAATGGCAAATACAGATGGGTATAAATCATCTAGTTGTGAGACTTTTCAGACATGCTCTGAGAATATCATTAAGCCACAGAATTCCACACAAGCACCTTTGTGGGAAAATAAAGGAAGATGCATCCGAGGCAGCACAGTCAAGGCACTAAGGAGCTATTTTCTTTCACTTATATTAATTTGGAACTAAACTTCTTTGCTTGCTTGATTTGATTATTTTGTTTTATTACATAGTCACCAGTCTTTTGTATCACAGGAGTCTCTATGATTTTTCATGAATAATGCACTTGGGAGGTTCTAATGCTCTCATTAACCCTACAGCAAGCATTCTCAAAATGGCTTAGAGCGTACACCTGCATCCTTCCTGTACTCCCACCTCCACCCAATCACTGCAGCATGGAGTCATTGTTAATGAAAACATTGAATAGTAAATCTGGTATGCTGGAATGGGAAAATCATTGTGAACCACTGTCCCCAGAAATCAAAGTTACAAATCATGGAGCCTGAAGTATGTTTCCAAAAATTAAGTTCCTTCATAATCTTAATCTAAATGGACATTATTTCATTTTTCATTTTTAAAAAAATTTTGAAGACTTTATTATTTTAATTCCAGTGTATTTAATATACAGTGCACAATATAGTGATTTGTCAGTTCCATATATTACTCAATGTTCATCAAGATAAGTGGACTCTCAATCCCTTTCATGTTTTACCCCCCCATTCACCTGCCCTATGCTAACCATCTGTTCTCTACAGTTAAGAGTCTCTTTTTTTTCCCCTTTGTTCATTTGTTTTGTTTCTTAAATTCCACATATGAGTGAAATGATATAGTTAGTATCTTTCTTGACTAGCTTATTTTGCTTAGCATTACACTCTCTAGCTCTTTTCATGTTGTTGCAAATGGCAAGATTTCATTCTTTTTTATGGCTGAGTAATATTATACATACATACACACGTATGTGGAATATATATACATCTTCAGCCATTCATCTTTCGATGGACATTTGGGCTGTTTCCATAGTTTGGCTATTATAAATAACACTGCAATAAGCATAGGGGTACATATATCCCTTTGAATTAGTGTTTTCATAGTATGATTACTGGATCGTAGGGTAGTTCTATTTTTAATTTTTTGAGGAACCTCCATATTATTTTCTACAGTGGCTGCACCACTTTTTATTCCCACCAAAGTGCCAAGAGTGTTTCTTTTATTTCACACTCTTGCCAACACTTGTTTCTTGAGTTTTTGACTTTAACCATTCTGATAGGTGTAAAATGATATCTTATTATGGTTTTGATTTTCATTTCCCTGATGATGAGGTTTATGTTGAGTATCTTTTTATATGTCTATTGGCCATTTGTATGTCTTCTTTGGAGAAAAGTCAACAAATTTATTTTAAGTAACAATAAAACTGAACATAGGTATAAACTGAAAAAAACAACAAAGGTATAATATCTTTTACTTCATAAAAAGGGAGATGGGAATAAAACTAAAACATTATGGAGAATAACTTCAGTATAGTTCTGAGTTTGAGAGCCTGGTTTTTTTTTTAATTTTATTTTTTAAAGATTTTTATTTATTTATTTGACAGAGATCACAAGTAGGCAGAGAGGCAGGCAGAGAGAGAGAGAGAAGGAAGCAGGCTCCCTCCTGAGCAGAAAGCCCGAGATGCGGGGCTTGATCACACGACCCTGGGATAATGACCTGAGCCAAAGGCAGAGGCTTTAACCCACTGAGCCAGCCAGGCACCCCTTATTTTGAGAGCATGTTGATACTCTATATATTCAAAAAATAGAAGTAAGAATGGGAATGGAGAGGAAACTATAATTAAATGCAAACAATAACAAATTAGCCTAATTTTATTTCAAAAGAATAACATAACTACACTGAAGGGAAAAGGAAAAACAAAAAGATGAAAGAAAAAAAGAACTAACCCAAGTAACTTATGAGCATAATATATGAGTAATATACTGTCAGTCATGGGCAAGGAGAAAAGAATTACAAACAAATCCCCAATTCTTTTTACTAGGTTTGCTTACCACAGTAGTTCAGGCAAAACAATTTTGAAACTATTTTTAAATATATTTCAGGATTGAGCAAATGAGTAAAGGTGTTGATACTGGTGGGAGCTGGGGGACACAGAAGAGGGGACACACAAGCCTGAATGGGGGAAGAAAAAAATAGCAGGATGGATTGAAATGGAAGGCACTAGTGTATACTCAGAGACTTGTAAAATACATACATTTGTGTTTGTGTGTGTGTGTGTGTGTGTGTGTGTGTGTGTGTGTGTGTATTCTTAGCTTTGTCTGCTGATGTGCTTTAAAAGAAGACACCCCAGCAGCAGCAAGCACATGTAGTGCCCAGATCTTGGTCTCTAATACCATTCCCCCTTTAAAGGAGCTGGATTCCTCAGGGAAATGCCTGATTCCACGGTTAGGATAGGTACAAGATAAGCCCAGGATATTTTGTTATACCAGAAAGCAGAGAAAGTGCTCAGGATATAGGAGCCAGTTTGAAGGAGAGCCCACTAGTCAACAACTCTGGACAAGCTCAGCACCAAAATATTAAATACAGTAATAAATTACAAACCACTGAAAAAATATGAATTCTTGATAATGATAATGATTCTTCTCACTGATAACATATAATAGAAAAAAAGAAGGAGGGGCTCTTACTCATAGGAGAAAGTCAAAGACTAAATCAGTAAGGTGGAGGGAGAGATAGCACAGGATAATCCTCTTTTGCAGCCATCACGGTAAAGACTGAATCAGGCAAAAATCACTAAAGGATGCCAAATCTAACGGAAATTTTGTCTTGAAGTATCTTTCCAGATGGCTTATTAGCTACAAGGCAGGGAAAAACTATCTATACAGTGGAGAAATCAGACAACACCTTGACTGCATAATCAAAATTAACACCATCAATGGAGTCAGATAGCCATCAAGTGCCTCTAAATACTATTATCTATGCAGTACTCTAAAAATGCATAACCTCAACCTAATTATGAGGAAACAGCAGACAAACTCAAGGAACACAGTTTTTTAAATACATGTCAATGTCATAAAAGATTAAAAAAAAAAAAAAAGCTATGGAAATACTCCAAATTCAAAAGGAGGCTAACTAAAGGCAATACCTGACCCTGGACCGTGTATTGGAGGGCAAGAAGGCTATAAATGGTTTTGTTACGGCACATGACAAAACTGGAACATAGATGATAGAGTAGATAAAACTATTCTATCAATATACATTTATGAGTTTAATAATTATAAGGTGTTTATATAAGAGAATATTTTATTCTTAGGAAGCACATACTGGAAGTATGTAGGAAAACAGGTGTAATGTATATAACTTGAGCTCAAAGTGTTCAGAAAAATTGTCCATGTGTGTATTCATATATATGCATGTCCACACACACACACACACACACACACACACACACACAGTTGTTTTTCCTTTTATAACTTTTTGTATATTTGAAATTATGTTCAAATAAAAAGTTTTTAAAAATTATGTAAGAAAGAAAAATATATTTAAGTTGGACTAGTAAATTTGATATAGTTGACTATCCCCAAATTTGGAAAATCATCTAAGACATAATACATGTGAGATTCTAAAATACCAAAGTATTACCTAATTTCCAAACTAATATTTATTGAATATCTACAACATGTGAGGTACCATGACTAGGCCTCATTAATCTTACAGTGTTGAAAGTAATTAATCTCAAAATAGAGGTAAGTTTTAATTAAAACTGTTCAACCAACTTATGCATATATTAAAGCTTCAGTACACTCAATTTTAAAAGGTTCCTAATTAACCTAAACTACATATAAAAAAGGAAAAACAAATTGTCACTTTCCTCTATCAAGAAGTACCATTTCTTACCTTTTAGTTTGAATGAAAATTTGGCTTTAAGTATTTCCTATTAAAAAAAGAGAAACCCAAAGAAAAGTCCTTTCAGTTCTATTTCCTCCTTATATACATAAATACAAGATCACTGGTCATTTGCCACTTATGAAAATGAAGTCTGAATAAAAACATCCAAAATGTATCACCCTATAGAATATATTTTAAGAAAGCTTCACAGGCCATCTTGTTCCTATGGATAGGCTCTTAGAGGTAAGCTTGGACATAGCTACCAAAAAGAGGCTGGATCGTAGTAAGAGAAACCAATTTACATTACATTTTTTATTTCACATCCATTTCTATTTGGGCTGCAACATTAGCATGTGTCAGGCAGGTTGGGACTGGATACAGGAGACCGGAGTTCAGTCCTCAACCATCTGCTAGCTCTCTAGATCCATGACTTTGGCCAAGTCACTTAACTCTCTTGCCTGCATTCTTCCCAGCTATGCTATGAAGGAGTTGGATCAGATGATCCCTAAAGACTCTTTTAGAGTGGAGAATTCCATAATCCCTGCTATAATTTTTTTCCTTGCACTGTTAGGCTATAAATATACAAGTGAAATTTCCAAAAATATAAATAAATCTTCACTATATATATATCAGTAATCACTAACAAAAGATCATTTTAAACAGAACTGTCTTCAGACCTCACTATCTACAACATCTCCAAGACCTTTGCAAATCTAAAGAATTAAGTCTCAGAATTTAGGTGAATTCTCTTGCATCCCAAGTTAGAGGAGAATAAATCACAAATCAAATAGGGTATATGGACTAAGTCCAAGTATGATATAAAAGCATCAAATTCTAACTTCCAGCACAACTAGGTGCCAAAATAATCACTTAAATTAACCTGCAGGGAGCTTGATTTTAATTTTCTTTTTGGCATCAATGCTAAGCTATGAAGAAAATTCAAATACATATAAATAACACCAAAAAACAATTCATAGTGTCCTCCTGCAACAAATGAACCAAACTAAAAATGAGTAAAATGATGGATACTCATACCACAGGTGTGGTTTGAGGCCATCAGCATATGATTTTAGTAAAAATTGCTAACACGGAGTTCTTACAGCATGCTGAATGGTTCTAGCAGCTTCAAAAGCACAAACTTAAGATTTACAAGAATTAACTCAGTTAATCCTTACAAAAACTGGATACGGGACATATTAGTATCATCTCCATTTTGAAAATAAGGCAAGATGGGTATCAAAAGGTTAAATAATTCATCTAGGGTTACAAATTTGTGTGATACTTATTTTATTCATAATTTAATTTTTAAAATGCTTTATATCATGCATATACTATGCATTTCCCCTGCTTTGGCAGTATTCCAAAAACATATTTCCATGTCAGCAGTTGTATTTCTGCAACAGTTAAAATGTCTGCATAATATTTCATTACATAGATGTACTGCAATATCTTTCTTTCCAAAATCAATATTAGCAAATAATTCCCCACTAAAGAATAAATAACTACTTCAATTTTTAGATGATTATTCAAATTCATGAAGAGGAGGGAGTTGTCAAAAAGTCACTCTAAAGTTTAAGTCTCAATACTTGAGAAAATGAAATACATAATGAAAATCTTTGAATGCTATGCTTGATACTCACCAGGGGAAACAAAACTATAATCTGAGAAAAAGATTTTTTATGCCATAAGGAAAAGAAAGGAAACAAACTCATTTATAAAGCTTCTCAAATTGCCCATCACAAATGACCAAGGCTTATGGCAGACCTGGTTTTTTGGATTGATGATATGAATCTACTCATTCATTTTACTTAAGGGAAAAACAGAAAAAAGTGCCTGTCATAAGATCAATAAGCCTAGAGCGAAAAACAGGTTTCTCAAACAAACTGAGGATGATAAAGGATTTCATAAAGTCAGAAATTCTTTCTTCTATAGATTTTCAAAACACTGAAAATAATAACATGTAGTTTTTGTTTCTGAATATGAAAAAAGTATGGGTAAGAAAATCTTTAGAATGAAGAAATAGAAAAGATTTTTCTAAACATGCCACAAATATGTGAACACATAAAAATTAACTCCACATGACAACAACCTAGTAGGCTGAAATAAATGAAAAAAACTGAGAAAAATACCTGCAACATGATAATTAACATTTTTTAATATACAAAGAGTTATTAATAGTCAATGAAAAGTCAAAACTATTCCCAAAGAGCTAAGTGAACAGAAGAGTGAAAAAGCAATTCACAAAGCAAATAAAAATGGGCAGTATATGTATGAAAAATGTTAAACCTCAGAGAAATTTTAAAAGTTGACAAAATCCCATATTGGTAAAGTTTCTTATATAAGGAAGATAGTATAAATTGACACGGCTTTTCAGAAGGACAGTTTGCAACAAGTAATCAAAATATAAAGATATATATGTCCTTTGAGTCATTGATCTCACTTATAGGAATTAATTCTACAAAAATAATGATATGTAACATATATTTATATTTTGCAGTATTGCTTATGAGATAAAATAAACCAACTGTATATAAATGGGAGAACCAGTGAAATAAATTATGGTACACAGAGGTACATACAACAGAATGCTATGTAGCTATTAAAAATGTTGACAGAAAAAAAAAATAAATAAAAATAAAAAAATAAAAATGTTGACAGTACATTTACATTTGTTGGTGTTGAAAGAAATCCATTAGACTGTAGGGTTTTCAAAAAGAAGAATTTAGAGCATAGACAGTATGGTGTGATGTTATTAATGTCAAATGGTTACACAGATTGTTACATAGGAATGTCTTCTGAAAGGATGGTCACCAAATGCTAACAATGAATTCTGATGATTTTTACATACTTCATAATATTTTTCTGGATTAAAAAAATAGTAAATGTGTCACTTTTACAAAAGTAACACTCATAAATTATGACAGACTTAACTGTTTTATTCCCAGCGAAACAGATTTTATCTGTATCTAGGTTGGCTATCAAGTCTAGCTGGTTGTTTTATGTTTGCTTTGTTTTCTTGTTAACTTTAATAACTGTAGTGTAACAAAGAATTTCAAAAACCTCTGGAATTTTCAGAGTGATACTGTCTTTGTTATGCTAAGGAAGTGACTCTGGGAGGGCCCTGAGAGAGCTTTAAGTTTGGGATTTTCAGCCATTGACCTCCAGGGAGTGGAAGGAGGGCTGAAATTGAGTTCAGTGATGTGGCCAATGATTTAATCAACGATGCCTACATAACGAAGCCCCAGTGAAAACTTTCGGACATCAAAGGTCAGTGGAGCCTCCAGGTTAACAAACACATTAATGTGTAAGGAGGGTGATGTGCCCTGACACCACAGAGAGAAGGCATGGAAACTCTGTATTCCCTCCCAGATCTCACTCACCTGTTACCATAAAACTGTAGTAGCACCTTCCTGAGCTCTCTGGAGTTATTCCAGTGAATTATGAAACCCAAAGGGGGTTGTAAGAACCTCTTAGATTAATAGGCAGGTGGTCAGAGGTATAGGTAGCCTGGGGACACCCTGCCCCATACTTGTGGCTAGAGTCTGAAGTAGGGGTGGTCTTATGGAGGACTCTGCCCTTAACCTGTTGGATTTGTACTAACTCCAGGAGGTAATGGCAGGATTATATTGCAGCACACCTAGCTGGTATCAGACCAGTCAGGCTGACACAGAACAGTAACCTTCCTAAGTAATGATATAATACTATTTTCTGTAACTAGCACTTTTTTTTTTTTTAAGATTTTATTTATTTATTTGAAAGAGAGACAGTGAGAGAGAGCATGAGCGAGGAGAAGGTCAGAGAGAGAAGCAGACTCCCCGTGGAGCTGGGAGCCCGGTGCGGGACTTGATCCCGGGACTCTGGGATCATGACCTGAGCCGAAGGCAGTCGTCCAACCAACTGAGCCACCCAGGCGTCCCTGTAACTAGCACTTTTGAGAGTTAAGAAAATGTCATAATTTGCTGAACGGCCAATAGTTTTGTTGATCAGATTTTGTGATATTTTTACCATAAACAATAAAATGCAAGAAATGTTTATCCTTCTTGGGTATCCAAACGGCTCCTCGAATATGTTATTCATGCAGCTCTCCTAAGCTATACTCCCACACATGTGTACCTTTACTCACTACTATACTACATTTGTCTATGCCTCTCCCATATACTGTGAATTTCAAAGCAAGGACTACATCTTATTCACTTTTGTACTCTCAGTCTACCACAACAGATGCCTCTTAAGTTTGGTGAATGCATGAGTCAACAAAATAGTTCTGTCATCAAAATCACTTCTGCCAAGGAAGGAGCTTAATGGGTGCTTTGGTTTGAAACTTCATAGTCATTTTGGACTCTTCCATATCTCTATTCAACTAAATACTGTGTCTGATAGATCAAAGAGATAGATAAGTGACTTCTGCAGGAAAATAGTAAATAAAAACAAGAACTCCTTTAAACATGATAAGGAAAAAAAGAGGATGATGTCAAATATTGTTTTTCTCTTCTCTTTGATCTTTGTGGTCTCTTATTACAATAGAACCTTAGAAATCCCAGTTTGAAGGACTAACTTTTCTCCCTAGTCACAATGCTATTAGCCTTCTTAAAACAACTTATTTACTCACCTTTTAATCTAGCGTCACCACCAAAGGCACCACAGCCCCAGTTTCCCGTGGCCACTGCAGAAAGATTCTCTGAAGAAACTCCAGGACGGAGAAATCCACAGTAAGCCTGCAGGATGAAAGAAACATCACATGTGAGTGATTAGACACTAACAGTATTTCTGGAAGATGTACTAGGATCAGTAGCTATTATCAAGTTTATGTTCCATTCCCTTTCTCCCTCCCTTCTCTCCCTCCTTTCTTTCTCTCTTTTGGGGCCAAGGTAGAGGGAAAAGCATAAAATCCTGGGATTATACAAGAAGAGAGTAAGAAATGATCAATTCTAGTATTTATTTCTTTTGATGCTAGACAAATCAAAGCCTTTAAACTAATACAGGTCTCAGTTTCTTTATCTTAATCAAACAAATATAAATGGATATATCAGGGATATTCAAGAACTGATGGGATCCAAATTACAAACTACCAGGAACTAAAGGGAGGAAAGGCACTTAACACATTTCTTTATTTGAAGGCTTCTGATCACCCCCTTTTTTCCATTATGCTTCTTCAGTGCTCACTTTGAATTATTGGGACTAGATTAGTAACTGTGATTAGCTTTTAAATGTGCTTCCTGCCACTGAAATGCTTGATAATGAGCAAACAACTGTATATATAAAAGGGATTCCTACATCTGGTTATACAATAACCTTTAAGATCCCCTCCAGCTCTAAGATTCTCTTGTTTCATAGCTCTGTTTTAAGCCAGAATATTTTAAAATTTGCTAGTCACCTGAGAAAAGTAAAATATATCCTAAGGATGCTGGCTAAGTATTAATTAGAGGAACAGCTAATTTTTTATATGAGAAGACTGCAGTTTAAGGTCCCAGAGTTTCTGTTTTCCATTCTGTACTGTTAGCCCGGTTGGTTTTTCTGCCTCCTAAGGGTTCTTAGTTCTCTGAAACTATCAGACTATATTAAAAAGTTTAATATAATAGCAAAGCAAATCTCCCCTGGGTTCTCTTGAGTACCAAACAAAGCCTAAAATACAGCTTATGTATATAGTAGATAAAATAAAAAGAATGATGTGTGACAAATGTTCCCAGAGAAAAACCAAGGATAAAGAAAGATGCTTCCATGAAACCCACACATAGAATATAGTAAATTGCTTTCTGAAGCTTCCACAAAGGTATAAAAATTTATTTTACACACTGTCTGGATAGATTAACAAGGCTATTCCTTCCACCCCCTCCTGGGCTGTAAATCCTGACAGATATTAATTATAAGTTGGTACCAGACCATTATTCAACGCTGTGATACAGAGCTTACAGTAGAACTCACAAATTACCTGTGTAATCAGATGCATGGAGCTTCTGAAAGTCCCTTTCAGATCAAAAATATCAAAGAGCTCAATTTTTTTTCATCAGGTTCTTAAAAAATATAGAGTTTCTGTCTTTATGCCAACAAGGGAGAGAATAAACTCTGTCAGAATAGACATAACTTTGCCACTTGGTTTGTTATCAAATTCTCCTTAACAGGCCTACACGAAGAAGATGATATCTTAGCCTCCTGTTGGGGCTGCCTCTCTTTTATACTGTCAGAATGGCTTTAGTCTCTTCCTACTGCCATCTCTGTATCTGGGCTGACATCTTTAATGAGCAAACATAGCTTGGTGAAACTAGAGCCTAACAGAGAACTTGAAATACTTATATTATTAGGAGAAAAATCCAATCTAAAGGGCTAATCAACTGTACTAAAACAAACAAACAAAAAAACAAACCACACAAAAAAACCCCTCCACAACTACCTTGAAAAATGGCCATAACAAAAACAAACTATAAAACTGACATTAATTGCATTTGGTGTTTTGACCAAAACGAATCCAAACTTTAAAAAGTTAACCAGAAATTAAATGATATACAACAACTATAACTGGGTATAAAGTATAACTGTTTATAATCATTAAATACAAATTTTATTCTGTTTAAACCAAGCATTTCTAAGGTCAGAAATAAGAGACAGGCAGCAAGCTCCTCTGAGTCCTCTTTAGAGAGACAACCTATGTTTCTCCCTCCTACAGTAAGGAGAGGGATCCCTCAAATGCTGGAGACCAGAACACGGTCACTAATCAGGAATTATTTCCTTTTACAATAGCAATGGGACCCTTTATTAAAAAATAAAGTTCAGATATGGATAGAGACCTCAAAAGGGTTGCCAAGTTCTTACTTCATGGGAAAAGGTACTAGGAGTTCTCAAGAGCTCCATGCTGGCAGCTAAATAACATTTTTTCCCCCACACTCACAGCCAGAGCACCTTAGGAGATTAATCAGAGCATTAAGAAGAAAAAGCCAGCTCAAACTCTATAGTCACATCCTGACCTGACATTCACCAGAGTCATTATTATTATTATTTTTTTTTAACTAATAAACAACTTTAAAGGGAAAAGGGGAATCATTCAGATCTTGGACAGTAAGTAGAGGATACCAATGAACAGTTATCTCTCAGAATAAATTTTGATGGGAAGGGAAGAAGAAAGGGAAGATAAAGGTATTTTTGGAGTCCTGAAGGTACAAAGGGGAGCTTTGAAAAGCAAGAGACAGGAAGAAAACACTGGTATCTAGAGTTACAAACTAGAGCCTAGCTGGGAAATAATGAGATAAAGACAGAAATGTAGGACAGAAGCAAAGAAAGTGAAAAATAAAACAAAGAAAAAAAAAAACAGTTGTAAAAACCTACAGGCCCAGAAGAGGACCCAGGAAATACTCAGGACCCAGGTACTCCCGGAAATATTGGTCACAAACACCGAGGCACACACACACATGAACACATGCACACTGAAGTAAGAACTTAGGCTTCAACACCAAGGTTAGCAGGCCCAATAGATATAATTAAACTATCTTTCATTATAATATAAACAGTTTATACTGTTTGCTAGATTAATAATTTAACAATTATTGTTCCTAAAGATTTGTTTACTTGAAGACAACCTACCACCACTTGTCTAACTTAAACATAGGTGGTACCAATACTGATTTTCTCGAGATCTTAGAATACTATGATTTCTTAAAAACAAACATAACATTAAAAAAATCCTTAATAATCTTTTGGAAAAGGGGCACCTGCGTGCCTCAGTCAGTTGACTGGCTGGCTTTTGATGTCAGCTCAGGTCATGATCTCGGGGTCCTGAGATTGAGCCCCGGGTAAGGTTCTGCACTCAGCATGGCATCTGCTTGAGGATTTTTTTAAAAAAGAATCTTTTGGAAGAGAATAAAGTAATATTAATCAAGAGTCTTAAAATATCCTTAGAGGGGCACCTGGCTGGCTCAGTTGATAAAGCATGTGACTCTTGATCTCAGGGTTGTGACTTCAAGCCCCATGCTGGGCGTGGAGCCTACTTAAAAAAAAATATTATCGGGGCACCTGGGTGGCTCAGTGGGTTAAGCCTCTGCCTTCGACTCAGGTCATGACCTTAGGGTCCTGGGATCAAGCCCCACACTGGGCTCTCTTCTCAGCAGGGGGCCTGCTTCTCCCTCCCTCTCTCTGTCTGCCTCTCTGTCTACTTGTGATCTAATAAATAAATAAAATCTTAAAAAAATATATCTTGGATATTTCAAAAAAAATTATCCTTAGATTAAATAATAACAATTTTGCAAATTTCTTTTGTTATTTGATTAAATAACAAAGAGGTTTATTACTACATTATGGATAATGAGAGAAACTTAGGAACACCTAATTGTTCAAAAATAGTAGTTTAATCATCCTACCATCAATCCTACCAGTTTTATGGACATTAAACATATTATGAAGATATTAGGAAATAAGAAAAATATTTACAATATATTGATAAACAGGTAAAATACAAAGTTATAGATAACTTTTAAACACATTTTTATGAAACTAAATATTCATGTGGAACGACCTATAACAGTGAAAACAACTTTTTGAAAGGTAGGATCATGGGTGACTTTTTTCTCTTTAAAATAACTGCAACATTAGTAAACTGATTTTGCTTTTGTTTAAAATGAAAGAATTATGCAGACCTTAGTTTCCTTGTGTGTGAAATCAAAGATTGGATTAGGTATACCTATTGTTATTCTGATTCTACATATTCAGAGACTGAAGGCAAAATTCACTAAAAATGACACATTTTGGGCTAATATTCCTGAAAAGTAGTGACACATAGTTGACCCTTGATCACAATGGGTTTGAACTGCATGGTCCACTTAAATGCAGGGGATTTTCTGGATAAATACAGTATAGTACTGTAAATGTATTTTCTCTTATGATTTTCTTAACATTTTCTTTAGCTTAAGAATACAGTATATATAATACATAAAACATACAAACTATGTGTTAATCAACTGTTTATGTTGTCAATAAGGCTTCCTTCCAGTCAATAGTGTGCTATTAATAGTTAAGTTCTGGGGGAGTTCAAAGTTACACGTAGATTTCTGACCATGCAGATGGTTGGCATCCCTGATCTGCAAGTTGTTCAAGAGTCAACTGTACTTTAAGAAAATATAAATGATCAGATGTTGAATTCCTCCTCCATTTTAACACTCTCACAACTGAGCTATATCAGCTACTCTATGTGTTAAACTTCTTAGAAAAGAAATACCAGCAGCTACTATTGAATCAAACTCTGGTTTAGTAACAACCTCTTTCCAAATTTGTTAATGGGTAATACCAAAAACATCAAGAAATCAATTTAAAAAGGGTAAATGGTGATTTCATGTTGAGATGGTCAGTTTGCTTAATCAATTTCTGATCCAGAAGCCTCTATGAAATATATTCATTACTTAATCTTACTTGAATGAGTCTAACATGGTTAAATACAACTTTTCACAGATGATTTCTTTCTTCCTTTGCTGAGCTATTTGCCACTTTTGCAAGCTGGAGTCATAAATCTTCCCAACTGCAAAGATAATTCTCCTCTAGAATGTCACCCAGCTGATCTCTCACAGGATTAAACATTGCTTCACAATACCAGTTAGATAAAAGGTGACCAATTCTTCCTTTTAAAAACCAACTCTGTTTGCAGGTCACGATGTGGGTCTAATAGGACAGGTGAAACCTGGACAGAGCAGACTGTTTCCAGAGAGAATAAAACACTTTGTGGGATTGCCCTTTCAATTATTATCTGATGACTAATACCTAAAAGTAGCAAACAAGCCCCTAGAGTTCAGAGATCCACAATGAATTCTGATGGCGAAAACTGGTCTTATGCTCTCTTACTTCCTAGAAAAAATGAGTTTTTCTATTCCTATTCACTTTCTCTCTGGCATGAAAAAAGTAGAATTGTGTAAGTCATCTCTAAAAGCATTTTAATATAGACTTCTGCTTTAAATCCAAGTTTACAAAACAGTGAGATAGAAATATTTAACTTAAATTCTCTCCAAGTTGTGCTGTCAGTTTATGTAATACTCCCTGTTGCTGTACTAAAATTCATACTCTATTTAAATAGGTAAATGTAACCAATAAATGATGGAATGCTTTTATTTAGACCCAAAGTTATTTGGATTTGGATTAGTTCTCTAAGTTGTTGATGACATTTAACAAAATCATTTATTGCCTTCTGCTTTTTCAAAGAAAGAATTAGGAAACTAATTCTTACCTATAAAAGCAAATGTTTTGGAATTTGGCCATGAATGAAAGAACATACATTTGTCAAGTGGCTTCTCATGGTACCAGGCCCTGAGCTAGGTGCTTTCTCAATATTAGTCCATATGCTGATGGGCTACTCTACACCTATGGTATTTCCTTGTCTTATAGGAATTTAATAAATAGGCTGGGGGGGGGGGGAAGTCCTCAAATTTCCTTAAAAAAGTGTATCAAACAAAATAGGATATTGAGAAAAGCAATCAACTGGAGACCTGCTCACAGTATAGGACTATGATTAAAAGAAAAGAGGTAACCAAAGCATATATGCTTATAGGAGATTATTAACAAAATGCAGGGAATATTCTTAATGATTTAAGACTGAAACAGGTTAAAAAGTCTGGAAAGACAGACCGAGTTACAGTAATCTCTATCTGGGAGAAGTTACATTTTTAAAAAAGTGACTTGAAGCGAGGGGAACCTGAATTCAAGTCCTGAATTCATCACTGCCCATATGTGTGACGTGGGGCAAGCTATTCAACTTCTTAAGGCTTGGTCCATGATCTCTAAATTGGAGACAAGAAGACTATCTACATCTCCCTGAGTGGTGAAGTGCCAAGTAGAGTGCCTAACTATCATAAGCATTTACATCATAAGCATATCATTTAATGTTAGCTATTACTTTTTTTTTTTAAGATTTATTTATTTGACAGACAGAGATCACAAGTAGGCAGAGAGAGAGAGAGAGAGAAAGAGAGAGGAGGCAGGCTTCCCACTGAGCAGAGAGCCCGATGTGGGGCTCGATCCCAGGACCCTGGGATCATGACCTGAGCCGAAGGCAGAGGCTTTAACCCACCTAGCCACTCAGGCTCCCCTAGCTATTACTTTTATTGTTGTTACTTACATAATTTAAGAAAACTTCAACTTGCATTTGACAGAAAAGAATCTCTTATGAACTATAAGTTATATTTAATGCATATTAATATAAATGATGGCAGCTTGAAACAGAAAAGTACACAACTATCAATCCATCTGCTTTATATGGTTTCATCTATTCCATACCTGAATCAACACTGGACTTACTGGGCTTTATCTAGCACTTAAAGAACATTTGGGAAATATCTATAAATTTGTAACATTTTAAGTGATTTAAGATAACATATACCTAAAAAGTTTACTTTAAAAAACTGTGTTAGTAATATCTAAAAAGTTTCATTAATCACCAACTAACACATTTAACAAATATTTTTGAGAAAATTTCAGAAGCAAGGCAGGGTGCTTATCACTGACTGGCTTGAATGAAATAAAACTTTGTCTGTTGTTATTTAAAGACTTACTCTTTGTGTACAAGGTAGGTTTCCTAAGGACTCTACATTCTACAAATAATGTCTTCCAATGCTTACAACTAACCTATTCCCATAAACCAAGGTTTCACATCTTTAAACTTTCTGGTGGCTTTGAGGATAGGTAAACTGAGGTTAGGGCTATATCAGTAAATGTAGACGTCAATAGGCCATGGGCAGTTTAAAAATTAAAGATTTATTTATGCCCAAGAATGTAATTTAAAAAGATCGTTATTTGCAGATAATTTCTAAAACTGAATGATCTAGTTCCTACAGAAAAGTATTTATGGGAATATAAATTTTATCCATAAGAAAAAGAACCTTTAAATTTGTGTTACTGAACGAGTATGATTAAACACATTCCCTTTTCATACATTTCTCTCCAAACTACCTACTGCCTACCTAAATATCGTCTAGTATCAAACCATGACCATGTGACAAATCTCATTCTACTTGGTATGTTATATAATAAAAACATGTACTTGGAAATAATTTCTTTAAGGTAAGAGTTTGAACAGTGAAAGGCTTACATTTAAAATGTATCTAATAATAAAAGATATTCTCTGTCACAGAATCTCTAATTTTCAGAGTCAGGTAAAAGAGACAAATAATACCTGTTGATATGCCACAGAACAGCCTTTCTGCATAGCTTTTCTGTGGAATTACTTAAAAAAATATAAGTGATATCTCTCAAGTTCAACTTTGGAAAATAGTGCATTTACTCTTCAAAATTTTTAAGAGCTCTCTTTGAGAACTCTAAACATTAAAATAATTAAAATAAACTAATAGATATGTATAAGAAAACACAATCAACCATTAGATTCTCAAGTAGATCAGAATATAAGATTATATGTATAATTATACCCAAAATATATACCAAGTTCTGAAAGAAGTAAAAGCCTCTTTGGATTATTTGGTTGTTCATTTTACTCACTATATGAAAGGCAAGGCGTTTGTGCTAGGATATGCAGAGCACCACAAGAGAAACCATTTCTGTGGTGAGACCAGGGGAAGCTGAGGGTATACATAATGTCAAATGTGCCCATCTAAGGGCACTCCCAATTCCCTTGCAATGGTACACCCAGTCTGCTGTCATCAAAAGTCCATGCAATTATCTCAATAAACAATCTCATAATCAGATATGACTTTCTTCTTGGCTGTAAAAGATCTAAAGAAATTATCAACTGTTTTGGTAAAGCCCTAAATCTAAAGAACAGCATCAGCACTCTACTGTATGTTAAAGAGTTTATTTACTATGGTTAATAGTAGTGAAAATCTGAGCAATAGGTATGGCTCATTTTCATATTTCTGTAATATAATTAGAAAAATGATTATAGTAGACAGCACTAAGCATCACAGAAAATCACAGATTCTGTCATAAATATGCCAAATTACCTAATCAATAAACAATTTACATGTGGACCTTACCTATAATAGAACTTAACTTATGGTTTATCTGTATTGACCCTGATGGCTTACCTTGTAGAGACGTCAGTGAAATGTGTGAAAAAAATTTTTTAGTGCTCATTCATTTCTATACGGTTTTACAATAATAATGTTCCAAACCAAGTAAAAGTATTTGATGGGCTAAATGCATGTGTGGGGCTTAATATCAAGCAACAGTCTATCTGGCATCAGTAATCAAGCAATTATGAAATGGAAAGTACATCTTGTACAAGCTGACAGACCCATTAAATCAGGAGAGCTGTGGGCAGACATACTGACATTGCAAGAATTACCAGAAAGCATTAATTTCAGCATTAATAAAATGGCAGTAAATAGATGACAGCTGCCAGATGAAGTAAGAAATGAGGTTACTGGCCTTGTTAAGCTCTCGTCTGATTTTCTCAGGCACAAACTGGTCGAGGTAGCGTCTGAAGTGAAGGGCATCGATGGCGACGATTTCAGTGCCACGCCGCTGCCAGGCATCCCTGAGGCAGGAGGGAAGGGGGAAGATGATGAGTGGGGAAAGACACTCACAAAATATAACTCTTGGGAGGTGGGATTTCTGAGAGTTTGGCAGGGCTAAAATATTAAAAACAAACCAACAAACCAGTAGCCATGGGTCTCAGCAAAACAAGAGGGCAGAAAGCAACATTTTTAGTTTTCAAGGCATACACATTATGGACTATTAGGCATTAAATAGTAAAACGAAAAATTATCACAAGATGACAAATATGGCATAGTGTAAACATACATCATTTACAGTAAGTCTCAGAAGTTAAAGGATTTGGAGGCAAACAAAAGGAACTTCATTCTCAGTTTTCCTCTAATATGGAAAACATGGCATTTGTATTTTGACAAAAGCCCAAAAAAGTGCTCATTATTCCTTTGCTTTCAGAGACCTGCTCTTTGGGTGTTGGGTTTTATAGTATCACCTTCTATCATCCAAAACATAATCCCAAGAAGTGTAACAAAAAATGCGTTTTGATTCAGTACAACATTCTACCTACTGTGCTCAATTGCTGATGGTGTGCAACTATTTTTAAAAAGACAAAGAAGTAAAGCAGACAGTAACACACTGCCTGTGGAAATAGGAAGGACTGGATGAGATGACTTTGGAAACGTGAAATTCCAAATATTCTAATACTGCCTTTACAGATTGCATAAATTGACATGCCAAGCAACTTTTCACACTGAAAAAAGGCAACCAAAACCTTCATGTTAGCCTGTAAATAATAATCAGGAATTAAATATCCACATAGGTAGTTGTTACAACCAAATACTTTAACCAAAACAAAAGGAAAGAGACCTGGGGCTGGAATTGAGATATTACAAAGAATAAGTTGGCATGGATAGATGGGCAATTGCTGATTCCAATGCAATGGCTTTTTCATTAATGTGCATGCATGTGTGCACCCCCCCACCCAAGAGCTTTCAGGCATCATTTCTTTTTGTTTATTCTTTCTCCAAATTTTAATTGTAATATTAGTTTCAGGTGTAGAATTTAGGGATTCACTACTTACAAACAACACTCTACGCTCATCACAAGTGTGCTCCTTAATCCCCATCATCTGCCTAACCCATCCATTCCCTCCCCTCCAGTAATCCTCATTTTGTGCTCCATAGTTAAGAGTCTGTTTTCTGGGACACCTGGGTGGCTCAGTTAGTTAAAGCATCTGCCTTCAGCTCAGGTCATGATCTCAGGGTCCTAGAATAAAGCCCTACATTGAGCTTCCTTCTCAGTGGGGAGTATGTCTCTCCCTCTGTATGCCTCTCCCCTTGCTTGTGCTCTCTGAAATAAATAAATAAAATCTTAAAAAAAAAAAAACCGTCTGTTTTCCGATTTGCCTCTCTCTCTTCCCTGCCCATGTTCATTTGTTGTTTCTTAAATTCCAGATGAGTGAAATCATATGGTATTTGTCTTTCTCTGACTAACTTATTTCACTTAGCATCATATTCTCTATAGCTTGATCCATGTCATTGCAAATGTCAAGATTTCATTCTCTTTTATGGCTGAGTAATATTTCATTATTCCAATATTCCATTATTCCAATATTATATGTGTATATAGTGGACTATACGGGGGATATGTGCACCCTGATGTTTATAGCAGCATCATCAACAATAGCCAAATTATAGAAAGAGCCCAAATGTCCACTGACTAATGAATGGATAAGATGTGGTACACAATAGCCAAACTATGTAAAGAACCTAGATGTCCATCGATAGATGAATGGGTAAAGAAGATGTGGGGGGGTGTGTGTCTGTGTGTGTGTGTGTATAAAGGAATATAATGCAGCCACCAAAAAACCCCCGAAATTTTACCATTTGCAACAAAATGGATGGAACTAGAGGGTATTATGATAAGCAAAATAAGTTAATCAGAGAAAGAATTATCATAAGATTTCACTGAGATGAGGGATTTGAGAAACAAGACAGAGGATCATAGGGGAAGGGAGGGAAAAATGAAACAAGACAAAAACCAGAGAGGAAGACAAACCATAAGAGACTCTTAATCTCAGGAAACAAACGGAGGGTAGCTGGAGTGGAAGGGGGTGGTGGGTGGAACGGGGGTGAGGAGGGTATGTGCTATGGTGAACACTGTGAATTGTGTAAGACTAATGAATCACAGACCTGTACCCCTAAGAAAAATAATACATTATATATTAATAAAAAAAAAAGAAGATGTGGTACATATATACAATGGAATATTACGCAGGCACCATTTCTATAAAAGTTTCCCCTGGTAAACCAATTTCGGGAGGAGACTTCAGCAAAGTTTATTCCAGGTCCTGCTGTTAACCATTCTGCAGCATTAGGCAAAGTGTCCCAACATGTTTCCCCACCTACTTAATCTTACAGAAAAATTAAGGATAAGTAAGCTGGTTAAAGGCTTTAAGCTCATTAAGAGCCTATTCTAGGTAAGTTTGGCCTTGGAAGTTAACCTCCATTGACTGCTTACATCTGGTAGCTAACAGGTAAAGAACAAGAGTTCGGTCCTTATTTTTGGTTTAGACTTTTGGCTTTTGTTTCTCTGTTCTTCCCTTTTGTATATGGAGATGGTAATACCAGTTTAACTACTAATGTATCTTTAATACTGAACTTAAGACCGCAGTTACATTTCTGTAGTAAGAGTGGATAGGAGACAGAATGTACTAGGTCAAACCCACATTCCTTAGCTTTTGGTCAGGCAATACTTGATCAAGTCAGAAATGAACTCACCTTTCACTCCCATCTTCATGGCTTCGGGCCCAACGATACGTTTCAGCATAGCCTGTGTATTCACTGTACTGTTCCGTACCTGAAACAAATAATCTGCTATTATTTTTCAAAAGGATTTTTCTTAAAAGTTGCATGTTCTAAAGGGTCTTTAGAGTGGGAGGAGGGGCAGAAACAGACTTCTCACTGAGCAGGAAGCCTGACATGGCCAATCCCAGCTCCCCCTGCAGATCAGACCTGAGCTAAAAGCTGACGCTTAATCGAGTGGCGCCCCCTAAAGGGGCTTTGTTAATAAACTTAATCCTCATTTCTGAAAATACCTGTTGGCAAATGTCAACTGGAAAAAACCTAACTGGTCTTAAGGACCTATTATTTTCTATCAGGAAAAAAATGACACGTATAAAAGCCACTGCAGTGTTTATCATATAGAGATATATGTCTCAACAGAGAAAACAAAATATGCTCTTTCATATTAATGTCTTTCAGGAGGAGTACACAGACTGTTTTAAGGGCCAATGTCTTCAGTATCAGTAATCTCATGGTAATACTTAGTTTGTATTGTTGAGAAAGCAATTTTACTATAGACATTCCCTGCTAAGAAAAGTATCATTAAAATTAAATCTAGGACTTGCCTATTAACATGCAAGTGACTTCAAAGGGCTTTGTAAACCAGAATATTGTGACATGAGAAGGGCAAGGGGAAAGAAGCATAATTAAAATTCATCTGATGAGAAAATGCACCAAGCTTGCCACATAACAAAGATTTCTACTTTTTTTTTTTTTAAGTTTTTACTTAAGTAATTCAGTATTTAAGTAATTTATTTAACTTATTTAAGGGCACCGTAAAGTGTCCCCAGAGATTTCTACTTCATCAAACCTGGACATACCAGGAGGGATGGTGCCAAAATTATCCTACTGCTTAACTAAATAAAATCATTCCAATTCCTATGTTCAACTCAGTAATTACTTAACCTCTCGACAAAACAGTAAAATGAAAAGCTGAAAACCCTGAGCAAGATAATACTTTTCACATATCAGAAATTTAAAAAAAGAATAAACAAGACAACATTGACAACTAAGATTAGTGATTTTTAAGTGCAATTGCCCTAATTTTGATGGTAAATAAAATGCAAGCAGACTGACTTTTTCAGACAGCTGGAACATTATTTATTAAAATGACTACTCATACAGTAAAGGTTCAATATTGAAGATATCTGTGACAAAGACTTAATATTCATGGAAAAAATGACACTAGAATGTCCAGTATTTCAGAAAAAATATAGATTTATAAAAATAAAAAACAGGGGTGCCTGGCTGGCTCCGTTAGTAGAGCATGTGACTCTTGATCTCAGGGTCATGCCCTACCTTGGGTATAAAGATTACTTAAACAAACTTTAAAAAAAAATACAGAAAACATATTTAACAAAAATAAAAAGAACACACAATCAAATCATGACATGCTAATTATGAACTGTCACTTCATCCAAAAGCAAATTAATTTAATTTGGGGGGTCAAGTTAACGTCTTACATGTTACTTAAACAACTTGAAGCTTTTATACATGAAGATTACTAAATGTACTGAATAAGGCTGCAAATGGCCTCTACACTTCACTATTAATTTATAGACAGACAAAAGAGAAACATGTCAAATACCACCATAAAGATGTAATCAGCAACATTCAGACCATGGGAAACTCTACAGGACCAATAGTCTGGGCTGCTTACAAAAAATTATAAGCAGAAAAAAGAGACGAATCTATAAATTAAAAGAAACAAACTTGAAAACACTAATAAGAAAGTGAGAGCAGTTATATTAATATTGGATAAAACAGACTTGAAGTCAAGGAGTATTATGAAGGGTAAAGAGGAACACTTCATAATTAAAGGGTCAATTCATCAGAAAGATAACAATTATGCTTTTATTTTGACTTCACATTTGAAAAATTAATAATGAAATTCATCAGACTATTAAAAAACCCCACATAATCATATCAAAAGTTGCAAAAAAGATAAAATTCAATACCTACCATAATTCTCTCAACAAAACTGAGAATCAAAAAAAGGAACTTCCTCAATCTGATTAAGGACCACTACATAAAAACTTACAAATAACTTCATACATAGTGATGAAAATATTCCACCTAATTCAACACTGTAGTGAAGTCCTAGCCACCGTAATAAGGCAAAAAAAAAAAAAAGCAAAAAAAGTCATAAAGAGTATAAAAAAGACTATCCCTATTTGCAGATGTCATGACTGTTTATGCAGCAAATTCTAAGGAATCGCCAGGAAAAGAAAAGAAGAAAAAGAAATGGAAGGAAATCTCATAAATAAATGTAGTATTATTAGGCATGTCTATATAATAGCAGCAAACAATGGGAAAATAAAACTTTCAAAATCCATTAACTATAGCATCAAAAACAGTAAAATATTTAGGAGTAAGTGCAAAAAAAGATGTAGCAGGCACCACTGAGAGAAAGATTTAAATTGGCAAGACAGACCATGCTCAGGGGTTGGAACACTCAATATGGTATTTCTCAGTATTGTAATCACAAATATCCCTCAATCCTGTCAGTATTTCTAGCAGATTTTTTTAAAAAATAGTAATTGAGAATGTGATTCTAAAATTTCTATGGAAATGCAAAGAACCTAAAACAACCAAAACATTTTTGAAAAAAGAACAACAAAACTGGAGGATTTTAACTACCTGAATTCAATATTTACTTGGTTGTGACCTAAGGAAAGACAAAAGAGATCAATGGAACTAAACAGAACTCACAGATAAATCCACCACTTGTAAAGTCAACTGACTTATGACAATGGTGCTAAAATAATCCACTGAGGGGCGGCGCCTGGGTAGCTCAGGTCATGATCTCAGGGTCCTGGGATCGAGCCCCTCATCAGGCTCTCTGCTCAGCAGGGAACCTGCTTCCTCCTCTCTCTCTGCCTACCTCTCTGCCTACTTGTGATCTCTCTCTGTCAAATAAATAAATAAAATTGTAAAAAAAAATAATAATCCATTGAGGAAGGAAGGGATAGTCTTTCCAAAATATGTTGCTGGAACAATTAGATATTCATATAGGAAAAAAACCCCATAAACTTCAATTGCTACCTCACACTAAGAACAACAACTACTCTGAGATAAAATAAAGGCATTAACACAAAACCTAAAACTATAAGACTTCTGGAAGAAAACATAGGAGAATAACATTGGGGGTACATAAAGATTTAGATAGGATAAAGAAAGCAGTAATCTTAACACAATTTTAAAAAGACTAGATTAGATCAATACTAAAACACTTTTAGGAAAATGCTTAGGCAAGACTGGAGGAAAAATATTTAGAAAACAAACATCTGACAAAAGGCTTGTGTTCAAAATATTGAAGAACTCCTAGAAGTCAATAATGCAAATATACAAACAATCCAATTTGGAAAAATAAGCAAGACTTAAACATAAACATCACAGAGGAAGATAAACAATTAGCTACTGACTACATGAAATACAGCTGAATATCACCAGTCATAAGAGGAATGCAAATTAAAACCACAGAGAGATACCACTATATACCCGACAGAATGACTAAAATCAAAAAGAATGACAACACTAAATGTTGACAAGGATGTCAGCTGAACTCTTTCTAAACAGAGAGAGTGTGTGAGTGAGGGGAGGGAGAAGGGGAGAGGAAGACAAGCAGATGCCCTGCTGGGTGGGGAGCCTGCCGTGGGGCTTAATCCCAGGACCCTGAGATCATGATGTGAGCCAAAATCAAGAGTCAGATGCTTAACTGACTGAGTCACCCAAGCACCCCTCAAATGTTTCTAAAAATTACTTCAAATCCAGGACTCCTTGGAGAGATGAGGAATCTAGAGCTGAGGCAGGGAATACACAAGATGAGTTCAGAACATCTTTTAAAGCCAAAAAAAGGGGAAGTGCATTAAAAAATGATGGGCACATGTCGAAGGAACATAACAGCTAACACTGACAAAATCTCAAACACCATAGCATCAAAACAGATGACAGTAATAGATTATAACACACTCAATAAAATAAGAATCCATGTGTCTATATAAATACTAATAAATATACATAAATAAGAGAATGGAAAATCCTTCCTTACAGTACAGCGCCAACTATTAAATGCAGAAGGAATAATGGAGTTAAGAAAATGGGTGCTAAGGGGAACCTGGGTGGCTCAGTGGGGTAAGCATCTGCCTTTGCCCAGGTCATGATCCTAGGGTCCTGGGATCGAGCCTCATATCGGGCTCCCTGCCTGGCAGTGAATCTGCTTCTCCCTCTCCCTGCTGCTCTCCCTGCTTGTGCTCAATCTCTGTCAAATAAATAAATAAAATCTTGGGGAAAAAATGGGTGCTAAAATTAGTGGGTGAATGTTTGATGAGGACAGGATATTTATAGTTTCCAAAGTATGTGAAATACATACCTACAGATTAACTACAAAGGGAAAGACTAACCTGAAAGTGGAGAAATTTGGCAGATCCCTCCTTAAGCAAATCACGATGCTTTATCACAAACACTAGGACAAAGCAGTATTGTATTATTCTTCACCTCAAAAGATACTCTAGAGCAGGACACAACACTTTAGTGGGATTTCTATCAAAATGAATAAACTGGGGGCACCTGGGTAGCTTAGTCGGTTAAACGTCTGCCTTTGACTCAGGTCATGGTCCCAGAGTCCCAGGATTAAGCTGTGCACAGGGCTCCCTGCTGAGCAGGGAATCTGCTTCTCCCTCTGCTCCTCACCCCATTTGTGCTCTCTCTCTCACTATCTCTAATAACCCCCCCCCAAAACTGAATCTAGTTACAAAGAAAGATCGGGCAAACCCCAAATGAGAGATAATTTATCAAGTAATTGGTCTATATGCTTTAAAAATATCAAGACTGGTAGTGGGTATTAAGGAGGGCATGTATTGCATGGAGCACTGGGTGTGGTACATAAACCATGAATCTTGGAAAACTGAAAAAATCAAATTAAATTAAAAAATAAAAGTATCAAGGTAAACCAATACAAGGAAAGGAGAGAAACTGTCCTAGTTTAAAGGATACATGACAACTGTACTCAAGGTG